GCTTCACGGGAGTGCTGCGGCTGTCAGGAGCGCGGCCGGGCTCGGTGGCTGCCGGTCTCCCCGGGTAGGCGCCGGGGCGAGGCAGACTGAGGCTCTGGAGTCGGCTGGGGGGGAGATGCGGCGTGTTGCGGGCCGTAGCGCGGTTCCCGGGAGGGGGGAGAGTGGCCTTTCGCGGCCTTCGCGTTCGGCAGGAGGCAGGCTGTGCGGTGTCCTGGCTTCTGAAACCTCGGCCGAGGGGTGCAGAGTGCCTTATGTTGTATGGCGTTGTGTAAGCGTAATATGAAGCGTTGCCCTGTTTTGCAGTCGTTATGCTTTCTGTGCAAACCTGATGAAACTAAACACGACCAAGTGCAAGGTCCTGCACAGGGGTCAGGGTAATCCCCAGCACAAACACAGGCTGGGCGATGAGCGAATTGAGAGCAGCCCTGCAGAGAAGGAGTTGGGGCTGTTAGCGGATGGAAAACTGACTATAAGCCAGCAATGTGTGCTCTCAGCCCAGAAAGCCAACTGTGTCCTGGGCTGCATCAAGGGAAGTGTGGCCAGCAGGGCAAGGGAGGGGATTCTCCCCTCTGCTCTGCTCTCATGAGACCCCCCCTGCAGTGCTGTGTCCAGCTCTGGGGGCACCAACATCAGAAGGACATGGACCTGCTGGAGTGAGTTCAGAGGAGGCCACAAAGATGGTTGACGGGCTGGAGCAACCCCTGTGAGGACAAGCTGAGAGAGTTGGGGGGTTCAGCTGTAGAAGAGAAGGCTCCAGGCAGACATTAGAGCGGCCTCCCAGGGCTGAAAGGGACTACAGGAAAGCTGAGGAGGGACTCTTGATCAGGGGGTGTAGGGATAGGATGAGGGGTAATGGTTTTAAACTGAGAGACTTAGATTAGACATAAGGAAGAAGCTTTTCCCTGTGAGGGTGGTGAGGCCCTGGCACAGGTTGCCCAGAGAAGCTGTGGCTGCCCCCTCCCTGGAAGGGTTCAAGGCCAGGTTGGACGGGGCTTTGAGCAACCTGGGCTAGTGGAAGGTGTCCCTGCCTATGGCAGGGGGGCTGGAACTGGGTGATCTTTAAGATCCCTTCCAACCCAAACCAGTGTGTGATTCCAGCCTGGGTCTTTTTGTGCTTATACTGTGTGTTTACTGCTTTTGACATTTAGTTAAAGTCAGCATAGGAGAATGTATTCTTATACAGTGTAGCTCAAACTTTTTTCTTTTAATTTTCAAATTGTTGTTTATCTCTGAGTATAAATAAATTTTAATTAGATGAGACAAGAGGTAGAAACCACACTGAGATTGCTCTTTTATGAAGGAACTGAACCTGTGCCCCCTCCCCCTAGACTGTGGTATTCATCTTTCTGTGGGACCTGGGCCTTTATGAATTAAAGAAACATTCTCATTTAGCTGAATATTATTTTTCCTATGTATTTTCCCCTTAAATATTTATGCAGATTGACACTGAACCTATTCCACAAGAACCTAGCAAAAGTTGAGCCCCTTCATCAGTTGAAGCTTCTGCACACTACTTTGTCCCGGAAAGGTCTGGAGGAGTTTTTTGATGATCCAGGAAACTGGGGAGAAAAAACAGTAAAGTCTGGTGAGTTACCTTTAGCATTTCTGATAGTGATCTTTGAGCCACTTGTGCTCAACTGAAATCTGACCTATTCTTTTGCATTATAGGAAGTATTTACAGAATCACAGAATTGTCTAGGTTGGAAAAGAAGATTATCCAGTCCAACAATATTCATAGCTATGTAAAACTTCTTTTATATATGTATGTACATACATATACTTGCACATTTTTTGCCTGTTAATTTATTTTTTCTGTGTTTATGAAAGCAAATAGTTATTATGCAGCAAAATATTTTGATGTAAATCCTCTGCTTTGCTCTTAAGTGAGTGTATCACAGAAGAGATGTTATTTGATGAAATATACAGTACTATGGAAGAAAAACATTTCAATGTAAGATTCATCTTATAGCTTTCCCTGTTCCCAGCCTTTTACAAACACAAATAAACAGTACATGCTGTTGTCTTTTTAATATATTTATATATTCAAAGAAAAGCTGAATATCCACAAGGAAAGCTTTCCAAGAGGTAGTATTTTTTTAAGAAGTGATCCTTGTTCTTTGGAGTCAGCTGAGCCTGCTAATAGAAGCACTGTTTTTCAGAGTAAGAGAACTTTGTTCTATTCAAGTTTTTGTTTGTTTTTATTTTTTACAGGGGATGCATGGAATATAAAGCAGTTAAGGGGCAAGAGTAGTGAAGACCTGCACAAACTTTGGTAAGTTTTAGTGAAGTGGCTTCTCTTCTTTCAAAGCAGCTCTGCATGTTTTATTAAAATGTGGCTAGTGAACTTATTAGCCAGTAAATTTTGTCTGCCATACAGCTCTGCATGCGTAAGCCTGCTTTGGGCTTGGAACAGCCCAAGTTCTGATACTTCCCAGAATATGAAAGCTGTAGTGCAGGTGCTTGTGTGATAGTTGTGCCCAGTACAGAGTTCAGGTTTGGTGTGGAGAGGCCGAGTTTGAGCCTTGATGGACTTGAATGTAAGTGACCTCTGATGGGGCTGGAGATTGTATCACCACTCTAGGCAACCTGTGCCAGGGATAAACCAGTACTTTCCCCATTTCTACTGGGCTTTCTCCAGTTGGTCATTATCTTTTTGCTTCTTTATATGAAGCTAGCAGGTATAGAATATGGGATTATAGATTGAACAACTGTGCTCTGTCCAGCAGGGTAGTGAGTGAATAATTTCTAATGCATCCAGAAATTGTTTTTGAAATACTATGTTTTCTGATCTAGGTATGTCCTACTGAAGGAAAAAAACATGCTTTTAACTTTAGAGCAAGAATCGAAACGACAAACCAGGCCTATGCCAAGTCCAGAACGATTAGAAAAGGTAACTTTTTCATACTAACTAAAAATAAAACTAAGTAAAACTGCTGAGTGAAAGGTGAAGTGTTTGTAGACTTGTTAAGGACCATGTAAAAAATTATTTCCCTGATTTTAGTATAAGCACAAACACTGTGCTCAAGCAACATAGTGGGGAAAAAGGCCTTTCCGCTTGTTACACAGTGTTAAGAAATATTTTGCCATCTTCATGCCCTGAAACTGCACTAGAGGATTTCTAGAAACTTCCTGGTAAAACTGCAACATTATCTATTTCTTTACTCTCCACAAACTTGGTTTAGCTGCTTCCCTGACATTGTCTTCTCCGAACTTGTGCCCTTTGGCTCTTTATTGTTCTCACTTTTGTCATTCCTTCCTTTTGCATTTTTGTCATTCCTTCCTTATTGCAATTCTGCCACTAATTTATTAAATTCTTTCCTCAGTATCTTTACCATTGAAAACGATTTAATTATAAATCAACTGCTATCTCTATGCTTATGTCTCACAGATGAAAATTTACACTTTTACTGGCCAGTTAATAATCTAATGTTAAACAGGAGAGATATTCTCATATACCTCCCTATTTATCCAAATTAATTTGGGAAAAGTCTGACCTTTACATTGTTAATCTGAGTTTCTTTGTATGGATAATAATTAACTATTATTTGCCATCACATATATCTGCAGCTGCATTATGGTCTCGTTTGTGTCAGACATGGATTTATTTGGTCTCCTACTCTTGTCATTTCATCAATGTAGTTATAAATTAGGGAAGAGACAATATAAAACTGTCGTCTGGATCTCCTAGTATATCTTGTTCTAATTTATCCTAATATGGTCTCTCAAATATATTTTGTGATTCCGATTCTGAACAGTATTTTCTCCTTAGTCCAACTTACGCATCCATATCCAGCAATTACAGATCACAGTAGAACTTGCTTTGGGAGGGAACTTAAGTGGCCCCAACACTTCAAAAGTCAAATCTTACTAATTGTCTGTTTGATTTTGGCTGAAGCCCAAGAAAAGTCAAAGTCAAGGACCAGTTAAATACTATGCTTGCACTGAGACAAAATACAACAATTGCCTATTAAAATCAGCTCTAGCAGCTTCCCAGAGTGTTTAACATGTTGCCATATGTAATGCGTATGTTATGAGTAATATTATGAGACAGACCTGATTAAAACCCTTCACCTTAAGTGTCGTAGTTTGGTCAAGGCAGCTTTCTAATCAGCCAACAGGCATTACTGAGGCTGTGACCAGACTCCAAAGTGAAAACTAGAATAACAAACAGCCAGTACAATCCGTCGGACAGAAATACATAGAGCATATCTTCTCTTTGCTTTCTATGCTTCAGCATTAGATCTGGCTTTATGTATTAGCCAGCTAGTCTTTCATGAAATATCAGACCATTAGTTATTTCATATCTGTTCTGCTTATAAGTTTGGTTTTTAGAGCACCCATTCTTTACTGTTCTAGTACACAGGGCCAATTCAGCTGTTTCATTCAGTCCGCAACTGTGAGATTACTTCTGATGGAATTCCTAGTGAGTTTTACCTTTGCCTTTCCTTTAAATTTTGCCTTAGATTTTAATTTGAGATCTTTTAAATTGTCAGTGTTCATTTTTTGGCCCATCCTGAAACTATTTCTTATTTCCAGGTAGAAAAGTCTATGGAAAATATAGACTTAGTTGTCAAAGAAAGAGAAATTGCTTTGAGGCTTTTACAAACTGGCCATGAAAAACCAGTACCTGGCGAGTGGAGACATGACTTCTTAGGACGCACCTACTGGTATGGAAGAGAGAACTTTTTTTCATGTGTGTGAATTTTTCTTGGGGTATGTCTCTTTACCAGAAAATCCTTATCTAATCAAAAAAGGAAGCATATACTGTATAGAAGGAAACATGTTTTCTGGTCAGCATTCAGGTGCCTCTTGAGTTTTGGTGCGTTTTTTTTAATGTGGTTATAATTGTTGCTAAATAATTCAATGGTAAACTCTACTGTTAATTATAACAAAATTAGTTCCATGTAACTAATATGATTCCTGTACTCAGAGGATGTGTTACTATAGCTATTCTGTAACACAGGAAGGAACTGGGGAATACTGTTCAAGTTCAACCTTCTGGACTTACATAGTTATAATGCAAAATCCCCATATTGGGGGACAGCCACCCAAAGTATTGCATGAGACCACATAAACATCTGTTGGAATTTCCTAAGAGTCTTGGCAGGTATTTAACTTAGGAGCTTCTACCTTTAGAATTATTTATTGTCTAGATACTTTCAATAATCTGTAACTTCAGGTGATGACGCTGAAGGATCTGGTGGGACCTGCTGTTTCATTAACCAGTATTTTACCCTCATCATATTGCCACTGGAAACACACTATTCAACTCTGCAGTAACAGTGTAGATAACAGAAGGTCACACATTGCAATAATGGTGAATTTTCATTTATAATCCATTTGCTTACACATGAAATATAAATCAGCAGAGTACTAAATGCACTAACCACTAGATTTACACCTCTAGGGATAAGGCTTCTGTAGATCTTTCTGCTTGGAAACGCTGTCTGCAGAGAAGGGTTTGCCCATATAGTTGGAAGTGCAGTCCCCAGTTAAAGCAGAGGGAAGGGGCAGACAACATGGAAAGGAACTCTGCAATGCACATAGTAGTAGGTGTGACACAATCTGGATGCACTGGAGTCTGTAGGTGAGGCTGCACAAGCCATCTGTGCAGCCCATATGCAAGAGAAACCCCAAACAGAAATAATAGAGTATATGTTTAGAGGGAAAGACTTATGTTCAGGCAGACTTGCACTTGACATGACACTCCACCACTGGCATTTAAAAGAAAATGATAGTAGAAACAAAACTCTCTTCATGATTTGTTCACATCAGCTTTTGAAATTTTTCTTATGAAGGAGTAACTTTGAAACACAAATGCAAAGAATCACTGTACTGGGCTCTCTTCAAACATCTGTTTTTAAAGCAAGACCACTCTACAGAAAGACGCTGAACTATATATGAGATGTAGTTACAAACCAAGCCAGCAACAGAAAGTACATACCCATGTACAACCTCTGTGATCTACTGGTCAGACCACTTTATCACTGTACTGTAACCAGGTATAACTGGTAGAATCCAGGAATGAAGACAAAAAGTGTATGTTCTGTAATCATTTTTATCTGTTTTTAACAGTTACACATATAAGGAATGGCCAATACCATGGTACTTGAACAAAAGATACAAAAAGAAGAAATTCTATTACTTACCTCATGTGGAACGCTTCATCAGGTAAAAACATTTTTTTTGACATAGAAAGTTATTTTCTGATCTGTTTCTCAGTCCTCCTTATTAAAAGGAAAAAAAAAAGTAGTAATTTTGTTGTTTTTATAGCTAGCAGACTGAAAATAAGGCTTTTAAAAATTATGGCTTGTTCTGTTTCTTTTTGCTGTTCCGATCTGAAGTTATTTCCTAATAACTTGGTTATCTATGAAGTTGCACTGTGAAAGTAACTTTACATGCAGCCTACCTAAGATTGAATTTCTGCAGAATTCAAAAGCAGAAGAAAAAAAAAAATTGCCTTGCAGGCTTTTTTGTTTATCAAAAGCAAATTAATACTGAAGTTTAATCACTGGGAGCATCTATTTGATTGGGTGGGTGAGCTCACTAAGGTTGTTACAAGCTATCTGGAAATTGACCACACTGATTTCTTTATTTCAGGCTCAGACTTGAAAAATTTTTATGTAAAAGGGCAAGAGGGCAAAATCTAGAGAGGAAGAGGCAGAAGCTCTTGAAAAAGAAGTTCCCTCAACTTGCTGTAAAATCTCAGAGCCAGTAACATGCTGGGAGAGTGCTGCAAGCAGCGGATTGATTTATCTTTGTCTGGAACACGCAACAAGTTCTGAAACCAGCAAACAACTCGACTGAGCATTCCTGAGAGTCTTTTTTAATTGTACGTTTGACCTAAATTAAACTTGTCATCTGGTATTAAAAAGTAGCTTTGATGTGTAACTCAAATTCATCCTAACAGTATTTTTTAAAAACATGTGAAAAATGACATATTAACCAGCTGTTATGGTGTTAACAGTGAAAAGTACCAACTGACAAGTGTAGTGTAGGGATATTTATGTGGTTTAGTTTAACAAATATGCATTAAAACCAGTCAGAAGCTGGAGAGCCTCTGAACCTCCCATACTCATCTTTGTTCCCTGATCATCCCAGTTACAAGTGTGTCACTTAAATTACATGTGGTTTCTGCATAAAGAATGGAAAAATACGCCATTCAGTCTGCTACGAGGAACTTCTTCCCTGCCTTACGTCTGGCTTATTAGAAAGTATGAAATATTTAGCTTGTGAACTTTCAACAGTGCAGATTTCTGATTTCTTTTTTAATCAGACCTAGATTTCTAGATGCCTGTGACAAATTGAAACATTTGTGCAGTGTTATTTTGCAGTGTGCAAAATGTTCTGGTAATAGTCTTTCATGAAACTGAAGCAGAAGGGTACTGCTGATGGTCTCAGATGGTAAACACCTACTTCATGAAAGCTTTTAACCTTTACATGAGGTTGTGTAGAAATATAAAGTCAAAACACTAGTTTTTGAGGAAGCAAGTGTGCTATACAGTATAATCTGATTAAAACACTGGAAACTCCAAGGGGAATCAACTGTAGGAGACAGACCTATCTGTCATCTCCATCCTCCTGACCTTCAGTTACTCCTCTGCATCACAGAAAATACCCGCTTCTTAAAGAGAAACTCTTCACAGGGGTGAGAAAGCCCTAGAAAGTGTTTTGTTCTCCATATGGTGCTAGAACATCCACAGAAACAGTACAATGGCAATAATTCAAAGACTAAGCAAGTGCTTCTGAATGAAGGCTTAAAAGGCAAAGTCATCAATTCATAAAGAAAACCCAAAAAAAGCCTACTTTACGTCTTCATCCCTAGCTCCAAGCTGTCCAGTCACCGATGCCACAGTAACTTTATGCAGCATTACTCATTGTGGTGTGCTAAGAAACAAGTTCAGGTGAAATTCCACATGCTACTTGAATGCAAACTAGCCTTTTTTCTTCCAGTATGACAACACGAGTAGGTGACATATCACCTACTGTAGCTGTTGCCTTATTTTGTGAGAGAAATACAGTTTGCCAGGAGCTTTGGGAACATGCATCAGGCAGCTTGGTCTCAAGAGCAGCTAATGGTTATCATGATAAGACAAAAGCAGGCTGGTTTGATAAATTACTTTATTGTTTGGAGGTAACGTGAAACTGTTTTCAACTAGAGGCCTCATCATTATTTACCCACAAGATCTTTTAGGATACGAAAAATGTAGCAGTACTGTTTACATTATTTTTTAAAAAATCAGTTAAATGCTATTTGGTTTTCCACAGCTTTTAAGATAAGGAGCAAAACTCCATTGTGTCCCAATACAGAACATCACACATTTTTAAACTTATTTTAACAGCAACATAGAGCTGCATCCTGACAGCCAGTTCCTGCTCAAAAAAAAAAAAAAATCATCCTTCTTCCTCTGCCCCTGAGTGCACACTCCCCATGCAAAATGCAGGCACTTACTAACCCTGCTCTGAGTCAGTGGAGGGAGTTATACCAGCAATAAACAAGCAGTGACTGCCCGTCGGAGTTACAGCTTCCTGCCAAAATGTCAACCACAGCCTGAGGTCTTCAATGACCATTCTCCTCGTCTTAGAGACAATTCTTTTGCTTTAACTTCCCTGGCTTGAACACGTTTTGCTTTTCACCTACATCACAAAGTCATTACATACATTCTTAGAAATCAGGTGGAAAGCACTGATTGTTTACTGAAATGGAATTGCTCCATAACAGAAAATTAGCAAACCAGTGCTTAATGTAACATTCACCACGTGGAATGTAACACTTTCATGAGACAGTAAAAGTTTACACTGAACAGAGTCACCTATAGTAGATTACAAACTTTCCATCTGTAAAACAGAACAGTAACTTTCTCTGCAAGTACTCACAAAGTTGCTCAAATATAAAAAAATTTTATTTTTTAAGAGACAAGAGCAATTCAAGGCCAAAGTACCAGCAAGGAAGACTAATATGTGAAAGTAGACAAGAGGTTTTTAATAAATTTGCATGGGCATTTGCAAGGTTAGGCCTCTATCTACTAGCTAACCTGTAGAGCTGTTCCCAGGAAAAGATACTAGAGAAAATAGATATTTATACAAAATTATAAAATGCTTGTTACATGAATTATTGCTTTACAAGGGATGTAAACATCCTTTTTCTATGATAGTACCTATTAGGTGTCTCAAAATTTCTAAGGTTTGTTAAAATGGAACTTGAATTATCCAAAAAATCCAATATAAACTTTCTACAAAAAGAGTCCATCCCATTCCTGAGTATGCTAAAGCTATAAAACAGAAGGAGCACTGAGCAGGCAGCAGTTTTCACAGTAAGAGGTTTAAGGACATTTTCTTTCTACACACTGTTTCCCTCCTTCTTCATATTCTTGTTTGGAAATCCACATCTGTTGAAACGTACCCTACAAAAAAAGAAAAACAACAAACCCACACCAACAAAACACACAATAAGCAATCAGGAAACAAATGAAGGTTAAGTAAAACATAATTATATTTTCCTAAGAGGGAAAACATGCAAGTCTTTACATTAAATGAGGTAAGAGGACTTGACCTGCTTAAGCATCTTTTCCTTTTAGTTTTATATTGCTAACAATTAAACTAAAGACAAGAAGTTGCAGTACTGAAAGCTGATTTCAGTCTCCCTTTCCCATACTGCTACTTTAATCCCCACAAAGCATATCAGTACACAATAACTTGTAGAATTCAACTCAGGAATATGATGCAGAAAGAGCTTCACTACTTTCATGGTGTATTATACATGTCATTTCTAGATGTCTTATTTCATGTCTGCACCTTGCTATTAAAAATGGGAGAATGTGGCAAGTTATTTTTTAATTGGAAACCCTCATGTCTCATTTTTTAAATAAATTCTCTTCACCTTACCACAAGGATAGACAAGATTATGATTACTATAGCGGCACTAACTCTGCAGTGCGCTTACGCAGAATTAGGTTTTTGGGTGGACAGTGCTGCTTAGCATAGCAATACAGGTTTACTAACCAAAGAAGCCAAAATGGAACCACCAATCCACGAGCTGAACCTCCGCTCCACTGTTGTGTTGTTCGCTATCAACTTCAGGCGCATGCTCTGAATTGAAAAGGAGGCAAAATGAAAGAACAATCAAAGTGTAGGCCGGTGACCTTTAGGGATGAAAGGACAGCACAAAGTACTTGGTGCATACACCAACGTGCAGGTAGAAAAGGTCGATTTTCTTAAACTTGCAATAATGCTTATCTGCCCTGTACTTGGAACTCAAGAACAGCCGTAGTGGAACAGAACATGTGTGGCTTTTATCTTGTCTCCCAACAGGGAGCAGCACCAAATGTTTAAGGCTAGAAATAGGGCAGGCAGAGAGCAATAATACTCACAGTATATATTGTCATCTGTAACACCGGGCTACTTAAAACGTGCACTGGGACTAAAATACCTAACGTTGCTGAACTTAACTCATCTAGTCCTTTTTGGACCCGTTCATTCCTTTTGTTTTCAAATGCCTTGTAGTACTAAAATCTTTGCATTTCAATGGGTTCCTCCTAAGGTCTTATAAGCAGAAGCGAGTAACCACCTTTTTCACTTTCTCATACCATTTATGACTGCAGAGTTGCTACAAGTAGCACATTTTTAATTGAATATGAATATTCCAGAAATATCATAAGCTGTATGTGTTCTCAAGAACACAGGTGTAAGGTATTAATACTTTCTTTGACAACAAATTATTTTAAAGAAAAAAGTATGTTAAATCACCAGGTTTTATCTATGAGCAGGTTGAGTTGTCTGTAGAATCCAGGAAAAAAAATTCCCCCCATGACAAAGTGACAAGACCTGAGGCAGAATAACTGAATGTGCTTCAAATTAGTCAGCAACACTTCAGAAGACAAGCCATCACACGAAACAGCGACTGTTGCTTAGGGACAATTACAGAACTTAGAATCACAATCTGAAAGCAGGAATGGAGAAGTAAAATATTCAGAAAGCAGTTATAATATCTGCTGGAATTAATTTCATATAAGAACCTTCCAAGACTTCTTTCTTTTCTTTAAAGAAGGAGATTTCTTACCTCACAGAAATCTCTTGAGCTGTTGGGTTCCTGACAAAGTCAAAGCTATGATACACATTTGTATATTTATGTGGCAGAAGAGCAAAATGATAAGTAACTCAATGCAGTAATTTAAAGAGTTGCTTTACCGGTGGAGTTTTCTGAGACAGCTCTCTGTTCAATCTGTCTGTGAAACTCTGTATCAGAGTGTTTCCTCCTGCTACAATCACGCTGCCATAGAGGCCCTAAAAAGACAATAAGCAACCTACAATATTAACAACTCAAAACAACTGTTTCACAGAATAGAGAGGAATAGCACACAAGTACATATAATCAACAGCAATAAGACATCACTTCATGCCAACAGTATTACCTCTCCCAATCCAATTAATTTTTTAATCACTTGAAAAATATTTCATGACAGCTTAACACTGAACTATACAAGGAAGACAGAAGCTATGTCAATAATGATTCTAAGTGATTTCACGGAGTATTTTCTACTATAGAGAACCCTACACCTACAGGTATCTCCCTTATCCGAACTGTTCATTTTCATACAGTTGAATGTTCCAACCACAGAAGAAAACCCCACAGAACTGCAACAGGTTTCAATCTCACTAATGTTGCAGTTGGTGAACACAAACCATGGCCTGGCCTACTAACACTGCCTGACACGCCAGTTCAGAGGAAACATTTTTGAAACAACCCCCATGCAGTCTGTATCAAACACAGAATATTTTCAAATCGACACCTGAGAAAGTTAGAACATAATTTTAAAAAGAAAGTTTTCCCTTGAAACCTCTTTTCTTCCTTCCACTCTCTACAAAAGTTCTGTATGATTGATTATGTTTATCTGCCACACCCAAAAATCTGAAGATAAAACAGAAAAAAAAGTTACAAACATGGAATGCTTATCTGAAGCCAATTCAATATTCATTATGCAGTGCTAGCCACAAAATCTGGACACTAGCTGTTGAAATATAAGTAGAAATACTGAGTAAAAGGAAAAAAAAAAATCCAGATTTAGCCTTTTGTAAGACAAAAGAGTAACTCTACATATTCCTTTATATAAATATGTAAAAGAGAATTATTCTAGTGTGTTTATCATTATCCTAGGAAATCCGTATTTCTTCATCAACAGTTCTAGTCTTGAAAAAATATATCAGCACAAAAATATCTGTGCCTTAAAATAATACGTCTGACTAACACTTACCGGCCTGATGTCTATATCACACATTCCAACGCTTGTTGTGACAACGTGGCTCACACCCAACATCGTGTTACCAGATAAACCCTAGAATTAAAATTAGTAATCTACACATCATTGCTTCAAAAGAGCAAGGCATATAAAAGCCCCGAATGAGCTGAATTGACAAATATTACTAGAGAGGGAGCTAAGCAATTTTTAAGGAATGAAAAAAAAAATTCTGATTTTCCCATTCAGCTCATCACCACCCATTCTGAACTACATTTAATTCTTAATTTCCCCAACACTAATACAACACAGGCAAATTCTACCACACATGAAAGAACCACACAATGTAAATACACACATACAAATCATTAAATTAAGAACATCATACAAAAGGGAAGACATGATTTAAAGCCTTCCAATTACCACATATCATAGTTGTTTTACCTTTACATTAGAAGGGTCAAACAATCCCTCAGGAATTTTTAGACGCTCAGCACCAAAGTCACAGTTATAGCCGTTGGGGAACTCGTAATGAACTGTTGGCATCTGTGCTGCTACCCTGGAGCATCAGTCAGAAGGGAACATATTAAAGTGCTGCGTGAACAGGATCTTATCTAAGTAGCATTATAAACTCGGGTTTCAATGGGAATATTGTGATTGGTATTACTTGCACCTTTGATAATAATTATCTCATGCATCTTGGAATATTAAATAAAAAAAACCTGTCACCTGGATGTACACTGTATTTCTACTTTCAGAAATAAACAGTTTTTATCTAAAAACTTCTGTAATAAAACCAGTCAACAGCAATGAGCAGGCTAAGCATCCCATGCACAACTGATAATTAATTTTACAAGAAGGAAAACAGTGACCTACTGTTCATCATAGGTTGAATCTGATACTTGGAGGACAGAAGCTTGAAAGTCCTGAATGACACACTATGGAGTTAAGAATAATATGGTTATAAGAATTTCAGTCTTCAGTTTCACAGAATTTATAGAACTGATACTGATTTTTAAAAAGATTTTCTAGTTCTTCAAGAGGAAAACCTCATATACTTGCAAAAAAAAACCTTTATGGGATGCCTAGGGGAGTTTGAGAGTGCAGGAAATTACCTACTTACATTACACATGTAGTTGTGCCAAGATCTAGTGACCTGGGGTAACTTCTCTTTTCGCTTCCAATTTGCTGGTGACCCCTCACGAACTGCTTCCTGAGATTGTAGGAAACATAATCATCAGTTAACCATTTAAACCTCTCCCCAAGCAAACACTTACTAAATAAAGTCATTTTCCCACCTTTGAGGCAATCATATATGGAGGAATTATCTCTATGTTCATTTCCTGAAACAATTCCCGGCACTGCATAGTAATAAAGTCTCCTGCAAGTGGTGATTTTACAATACCTAGAAGACAAAAAGAGAAACAAAACCAAAAGAACCTCACCAACCTGGAAAATACTGAAATCACAAATGAAGTCTCACAACAAACTGTTTGTCAGTGAATGTGGTTAGGTGGTTGGGTTTTTTTTTTTTCTATATTTAAGGGGATACATAGATTTAAAAACAATAACAAAACTGTGAAAGCAGAAAGTAAGCTAACTTGACCTTGACACTACAATGCTGTTACTCATGAAAATTTTTACCTTGCTGAAGTACATATCCATCATGCACTGGAATAGCAGTGGTGTGTGTTGCTCCACTATCCAAAATGAGACCTGTAGATCTCCCATTAGCAAAACTAGCCCAAATGATTAAGGAAAACACTGTAATTTTCACTTTAGAAAAAAACCCCATTGCCATACAATTAAAGCATAGCTAGGAATGAGGACCCCCATGTTCTATTCCCTGGCTCTACAAAAGGATTTGCTGTTTCCCAGCATGTATTGTCTTTCCATGAAGTGCACAACCTCATAGAGAGAACAGCATTTCACTTCTATCTGTGAACTAACTTGAGCTTTGAACATAGAAAGGTGAGACTTCATGTCAATACTATGCGGCAAGCTCTCAGTACATCCAACTCATTTAGACTCTCAAATTGAAAACATGTTATTAGTTTAAAATCATTACAAATATTCATCTTAAGGCTATGGTAACTTCAAGCTCTAATTACTGTATCTAGTAGCCTGGACAACACCATTTCAAGTCTGTAATATTCTTACCCATGGTATACAATGGGAAAAAAAATTGAAAACAGAAAAAAAACCCCACCATCTCCCCCAGAAAACAAAACCATCATCACCAAGGAAAACAGTCAGACTGGGAGAACTTCAAAACTGAGCTCTAAAGCTTTAAAGTTCAGAAACTGAGTTTTTTTACTTCCTCCTTAGATGTTTACGGAAAAATTATTTTGAAAGAAGAAAAGTTAGACATGACGTTGTACTAGGAATTGCCTGGAATGAGTTTATTGTAATTTTCTGGGTGTGGGGAAAGGCAGTGAAACATTCCAAAGGATACGCTGTTAGAACAGCAGTTTTACACAAGAAAAAAGCAGGGATGTTGTAGTGTTCAAACATCAATTCAGTCAGTTTTTCACGCTTTGCTCTAGTATTCCACTAGAAGAAAAAAATAAACCAAATCACAATAAGTGACCAAAAGGAAGATACATTTACCATTAGAGCACACTAACAACACTGACAGAATAAAGAAGTAGTTAGAATTGTTATAGCCACAGTTTCAAATCATATAAGTTCTGTACAGTCAGATTTCTAGTAATTTACTTCTTCAGAAAATTCCAATTCTATTACAATACACTAATGCTTATCTATCACACAGAATGAAAAGCGATATACATTTTTAGTGTTACAATAGAGGTTTCTTTGTAATTCTACAGGTCTTCAAGCATCAGTTTCTCAAAGAACTGTAAAACAAGTAACATGCCCATTTTACAAGGGGAAAGATACGTGAAATAACTCGCCCAGCTAAAGGAAAAATAAATTCAGATTTTTCCTGTTTCCAAGGTATCTTCCTACAGTTCTACTGTAATTTCAATTAAGCCAGTATATATATCAAATATTCTACACATTACTAAAAAAAATACTGAGCCAATACATTAAAGTAACATTCTCCTTGAAGAACTAATCTAAGTGGGAACCTCTATTCAGAACCCACTGAGCCATCGAACATGAAACAACCATTGCAAATTTATCCAAACTCCACAAGCTACAATTCAACACAAGGGAACAATGAAAAAGAAAATTATTTTCACAAGATTTTTAAAAAATGGCATAACTTTTGTATGGCATGTCTATCCTTTCTATTCTAACTTTAAGGTCTGCCCTTCAAATGCTGGCCAATATTAAATGACAGAAATCTTGTCCATGTATTTTCCCAGAAATTTGTATTCACCCACCTTACAGGGCCATTTACAGAAATGAAAAGAGAAAAAAAGAAAACTTCTGCATTGTAAACATTATTCTCTGTCACATAATATTTAGTTGTAAGGCTGAATGAAGTGACAGATTTTCAATGACATTTTATTAAGTGTAACTTAATACACAATAAGAGATCCAAACACCTTTTTGCTTTTATTCGAGGCTTATATAAGTGAGACTTATTTTTTTTAATTTTTGACTTCCTTTTCATAAGTGAAAAACAATAGAACATTGTAAATACTTTCTAATACAACTCATGTAAACTATTTCAAATGGTTTTCTTTTTTAGACATTTTTCTTAAACAGATTACTTTCCAGAACCTGGCAAAGTTTTTAAAAATTGTTATTTGTGTAGCTAAGTTTTAACACTCATAACCTACAAGCCAATGTCAGACTTGTCCACAACTAATGTTTGTGGAGTCAACAAGAAGATATAGTTAAGACTTAACAAAATGCAAAGCTGCTTTTACTCACCGGTGCTTCGGACATAAGGACAGGATGCAAACTTGCTTCAGATTTAATATGCATTTTGTAAGTGTGATCCAAAATTGCCTGAAAACTATCCCAGTCTTCAACTGTAGAAACATTGAAGTGAGCAGATTAGTTACTTCTAAGTTTTGTTCCATTCATAAATACACAAAGTTTTTCCAATGCTTTTTTTGTGTAGAGCTCTTTAGCCAAAAGCTATCTTCAGCAGACATACACATTCTCTGCGGAATTCTCTTCCTCTGTAATCAACATGATCATAACATTTCAACAATTACGCTGAAAGTTCACTAACACTGTAAACCAACTATACTTCATGCAATTTGTAAATTTTTTGTTCTTGTAGCTTCTGTTGCCATACATAGCCTCTGTTTACACGAAAGCTATGACTTTTTGCAGCCTAGTGATGCTATTCTTAAAAAGAGGTAGAAAAAAACCACCATACTCATTCCATTTTTTAAAGGTGAAATGGCCTCCATATTTTCCCTGGGAACTCTGAGGGCGTTGGTGTCTATATAGTACGTTGGGCCTCCCTGTTTGCCTTTATCACCATCAATCTCCATCAGAGTGCTGCCATTGTCCCTTTCTAGCACCACACCAATGGCTGTTGGAAAATCAACCTGTAAGGCAAAAAAGTAAGCAGTATATGAGAATTATTAATGGTTTGGGTGTTTTTTAGTTCATAAATTCAGAGCTTTTCTTATACAATACAGTCAGAACAAAAACCAGTGTATTGTGAAAACTTGTAACTAATAAACAAGGCCTAAAGCATAAATTCATGCTGCATTTTCATCGAGTCATACAGATTCTCACCTTTGGACAGTCCTCGCCTGCATAGCCTGCTCTCACTGTATACGAGCCAATGTCAAAAACAAGAGCCCCAACTTCATCTGAAAAGATTGTCAATAAAGAGGCAGTGAATGGTTATGACACTCTAAGACAGCCCTGACCTTTCCCTGCCCACTATCTGTTTTACTTGCAAAAGAAGCAAAGCAAAGTCAAGGCATCTTTTTCAAGGCAAGAAGAAACTTCTCTACTCAGAACTCCAGTTACTGGTGAAGTATTAGAAGACTGCAGATAAGCTTTACGTGGGACGTTGTAACATCTTCCTTCGGCATAAGTAAAAGGGAAATTTTAACAGAAGAGGGAGAACATAGTTGCATCTAAGTAGATGACAGGACAAAGCTATAAAAAAGTGCTAATTTTTAACTAATGGTCACGAAAATCCAAGTGAACCCAAACCTCCCAGGAGCGCTCAGAATTAGAAAGGCAGGCCTGAAAACACCAATTCTGTCAGTGAAGGCTGTCACAACACGAAGCGCCCTCATCCCTGTGGGCCCCAATCCTCGCTGAGGTGCTCTGCACACCCTCAGGAAAACTTAAGTCTGAAACAAAACACCTGGACTTTAGTCCTCACGGAAAGCTGTGCGGAAGTGCTCTGTGAAGAAGCTACACCCCAGTTTCCAAAGCGCGGAGTCTTCTCAGGCCACCCTGCACCCGAGCAGCGTTAATTCAGCCCAAGGCCACGGCTTGGCCGGTCTCCGGGGGAAGCTTCTCAGCGAAACGACGCCGGGAGGGGCATAAACAAGGCCTGCAGCCGCCTCCTCTCCCTCACGCACGCCGCCACCCCGCGCCCAAGAAACGGGGGGGACCTGGAAGGCTCCG